TGGAGGCCTAGTCTGTTTGCAAAGACTCCATTTTGACTTAATTTTGACACCCGAACACAATTTCATTAATAATAATAATAATAATAATAATGATTTTATAATGTTCTGCTTTTAAATAGCGCTTAATGCAGTGATGATGTCTCTAAGTGTGCCTTACAGATATATTATTATTATTACCCCGGTCATCGGATTCAGGCTTGTATGCACATTCTCCACTCCCTGGGGAGCATTCCAGCCAGGCGTCATTTACAAATGTAGGCGCACACTTGCTCATCTAACCACATAAACTTTCGTATCCTACCGGGTACCCATTTAACACCTGGGTGGAGAGTGGCAAATGTAGATTAACGTCTTGCCAAAGGACAGTGCCGCGGCGGGGCTAAAACTCTGTACCTCGTGATCTGCAGTCTAAGCCTTGAGCCTACATGTAGGCAGTTCAGTTTAGACCTTCGCGATGGGGACAACTTCTTATTCACGTACGCAAGTGCGCATTTCAGCTCCCTATACGAATCCACATACATGAGGGTGAGCGCGCTTTCGGCCACACTTTCGTGAGCTTTCGTGGTTCTGCCGAAAAAAAACACTCGGTTTATTTCGGATTTCCCCGCCTTCTGATTGGTTAAAACAATAAAATATGACGTCATTTCTCTTCGACAATTATCGATGCACATCGGAAGTGAGTTGTACGTTGAATAGCCATCGTAGTAGATGGTTTTGCTCAAATCTGCCGACAATGTGATGAAATTCAGATGGAAGGAGTTTTTCAACTAACTTACAACTCCGTAATTAACAAAATTAAACATCTTACCTTCTTTCCTGAAAGTTTCATATAATGATGATGAGTAGATCTTATGGTAGATATGATAATATGATTGCAGTTTTTGAAAATTGCACGAACTGATTTTGACGATGCGACGCGTGATGTGTGTACGTAGTGTGTACGTGAATGAAACAGCTGTGTGAGTGACGTCGAGACCATTTCGTAGTCTTAGAATTCAGACCCGTTTGTGACTTGATTGACTTGTTTTTTCAATTTTTGTTTATTGTATCTGTATGTCGTATTTTATTGATAATTGTGATATTTATTTTAATATTTGGAATAAATATTGTAATAGTCTAACATGAATTGGTAATATTTTGGGGTAAAGTAACAATATTTTTTCGAAAAAACTGTTCATTTACTGCAAGATTGCTGCAAGTATAGACTACATAGACGATTTGTCACCTCATCCTTTTGTGTGTGTGTGTGTGTGTGTGTGTGCGTGCGTGTGTGTGTGAGAGAGAGAGAGAGAGACTAGGAGAGAAAGACCGAGAGAGAAAGACCGAGAAAGAAAGAAAGAAATAGAGAGAGAAAGAGAGAAAAAAAGAAACAGAGAAAAAAAGAAACAGAGAAAAAAAGAAACAGAGAAAAAAAGAAACAGAGAAAAAAAGAAACAGAGAGAGAGAGAGAGAGGGAGAAAGCGTGCGTGTGTGTGTGTGTGTGAGAGAGAGAGAGAGAGAGAGAAAGAAAGAAATAAATAGACAAGATCATTTGGTAAAAGTTTAGATTCAAAGGGTTTTTATTTACCTTTTATAACAATATGATGACAAAAACATGGAAATTTGCATAAATTTGCATAAATTTGCATATTTTATTACGGTGCTGTTTAAAGATATTAAATTTCATATTTGCCAAACATCACTGAATATATTTGCCAAATTTCAGCGAGTTTGGTCATCGCATTGAAGAGATATGACTATTATGAGGCTTAACAGATCACAAACTTCTGAAAACAATGGTGCCACTGCTTAAACACAGGTTTAATTGACTTCAATACAATTATAATAGGTTAGACCTTTTGATCTTTTGTCCTCATCAATATGGTTCTGAAAATTATTTTTAAAATCCGTATCTCTGGAACCGTTGGTCCAAATTGAACAACTCAAAGTGCATTGTGTAAATAAAAATGTGATCTTTAAAATGATATTGAAATCACCCCCTATCTCCTACAAAAAAAAAATCACCTGAACTGCCTACTACATGTAGTCTAACTTTGTTTCAGTCTCTTGCTGTATATAATAAAAGCAGTTTTAATACATGGCCTATGAAGTGCGCGCTGTAGACTGAAAAATCTTCATAGACTAACACAGCAGACAATACTCTGTTACAAGATGTCTGACATTCGCTCCGCAGCAACAATTGCTCTGGGTCTTATTTTACAGAACATATTAAATGCAGGGTTACTGTGACTGGGTTTTAGGCTAAGATTAGGGCTATAGGGTTAGGATCAAATACAATGTTTGGTCCAGGTATTTAAATCAAGAATTTTGATAGTGTAGGATATTGTCCACAAAATAATGAACAATTCTTGACAATCTACGACTAACTGCCAAGGGTCTGTGCATCCAGACTAGTTTTGGGTTTAGTGTATGGTATGTCAATTACAAGGTAACGAGGAGAGATGACTTCTTATATCATTTCATCTACCTTCTTTCCCCTCCCATTCCACTGCTCATAGACGCTACAATATGTCATGGTCAGGCAGGCGGGTTTGAATATTGGTATTGAAAATTGGCAAGTCAAACCAAGCTACTTTGATACTGTACAAAATGTTCCAAATATATGAAATTCTTGATACAAGATTATTTTGAGACTCAACATTGCTTCTACTTTTAAACTGCAAGTTCAGCCTTTAGTTTCATAGTTTTTTTTTGTCCTGTATTGTTTGTTGTGAAAAGGAACCTGGGAATACAGTCAAGAGGAGGTCTAGAACCTCAGTATTTAGGTATTATAAGTACCGGGGCTACGGCAAAAACATCTTGAGGAATATAAACAACAGAATTATCATTCTTGATTAATGAAATGTAAATTTGATTTAATGTCTACATGTGTACATGTAGGCTTTCAAACATGTACTGAATTCAAACAGGGACCATGTATAGCTACATGTACGTACATTAAGGTCCAAAACTGAACTCTGCATCTCTGTGTATACGTACATTATTCATAATCATAGATTAATTTTTTCATAGTGGATTTCAAAAACCGAATGGACACCCAGCCTTCCCCTCGACACATACAGTACATGTAGTGACACCAGGTGCTGCCTGACGTTGTCGAGGGCACACGAGGGAGGCGTGACAAAAATCAATTTGGAGTCACAACCTTGGGAAAGACAATGCATTATACATGTAGATGGCTTCATAGCCAGGATTGTAGACAAGTTGCCATGGCGACTTTCTGACAGGAATACGGGAGCAATCACGCTGCAATGCATTTCATTAGGAGCTGAGGTAATTAGTCCTGTACAATGTTAGGAACAGAAACTAATATAGATTGCCCCATACACTGCAATGTACATGTAAGTGAAACACACATGGATTTAAAACTGCCTTTTGCTTTCAGAGGAAACAAAAAAGGATGTGCAATGCATGCTCACAATGAATAGCAACCTCATAAATGAAATGATCAACTGTGCGCTGTGAAGCATTGCGATTAGCATAATAGTACTTGATGTTTGAACATGTATGTAATTGTTATTGGAAATGCAGGGTGAGAGAGAGGGAGGGAGGGGCTATAGACGGAAGATTGACAAGAGCTAATCATTCAGAAAAGGACAGAAGAACAATAAATACAAATTATGTTTTTAAATCATTATCAGCACCCAACCCGTTTCGTTATTGAAACTCTTCTGTGCCTTGGCAGTGAATCAAGTGAGAGAAACTGAGTGCTGAATTAACGTATGTTGAACTATGAAGATTTACTTTGTCTCGTTTTTCTCTCAGAAACAGAGACATGTACCCTCACTGATCCAAAGTGTCAGTACAATAAACCGATTTACTAACATATTCATTTCATTTTTTTCCATTTCATTTTTTTTTCTAACATATTCAACTTTCTATGCAAACTTTTTAAACAAAAGTTGTTCCTTAACACCTGAAAGCTTGCCTGAGGATTGACCAACATAGCAACACGTAATGTATGCAGAATGGAATCCAAGTATTATAGAGTAGTTCATTAATGGAATACCTCGTCACTAGGTCCCCAGGAAAGAAACAACCATAAATTTAGTAAACCAGTCTATTCCAAGCTGAACACTTGAAATCTTAGTTAAAGGAAACCAAAACCTTCATATTAAGTTACTTTTATTGTAAAGTTTGAAAGATTTGAATAAAATCAGTGAAAATTTGAACAAAATCAGGCAAGGAATAAGAAAGTTAGAGCATTTTGAAATGACAAGTCACTAGAGGGCGGTATTTAATTTGATGACATCATCTGTGAACAACTCTCCATGCCTTTTGTACATAAAATTTCACAATTTTTTTGTTTTCTTTGTATTTATTTGTGTTCTTGATCCGACTTCATGACATGTGAAGTAGAATATCATTTTGCATTCTATATCTTGCTTTCAGGGGAGTACATTATCTCAATCACAAGAAAGAAGGAAAAACATGAAATTTGATGTACAAAAGGCATGGAGAGTTGTCCACAGATGATGTCATCAAATTGAATACCGCCCTCTAGTGACTAGTCATTTCAAAAATCTCTTACTTCCTTATTCCTTGCCCGATTTTGTTCAAATTTTCACTGATATTTTTCAAATATCTTAAACTTTACAATAAAAGTAACTGAGTATGAAGGTTTTGGTTTCCTTTAAACAAGTGCAAATAAACTGTAGCACAAAAGGGGTTTAACTATTTGGGTCCAAGACACTATACTAATCTATCAGATTTCTTTGTAATTTCAGTTGATGCCAATTTGCAGATCTAGCACTGTAAAGATCAAGAGGACGCATATTTACTTTGCTGACACAGACAAAGATCAAGTTAAAGATATCAGTCACGTATCAATAGTAATATGAGAACACACCCAAGAGTAATCATCTCAAGTTGACTTCATTGTTTTCTTCTTTTCATCACATCATTACCAAAACAAAGCATGCAGATCGAGCTGAAAACAGGAAATGCACTCAAACACACCTATAGAGGAATTTCATGTGTGAAAATAAAATCATTATTACCTTTGTATGAGCTGGAAATCAAGCTTGGCTCGCCTTGAGTTCAGAATCAGTTAGCCTGAGAACAGGAAGGGAAAGAAACAAAAATAAGAATAGGATTAAAGCTGAAAATGTATTTAGTGATAAAAATTAAAGATTGAAAACACAATTTTAAAATACATTTATACAAAATTACACTCGAGTTCAGAACAAACTCGGCTTAAAGAGAAGGTTGAGTTCTGGGAAGATCGGGTGAAAAATAATTTGTGAGCAATACTCATTCTTATTATGCAAGTGTGGAAGAACATCAGTTAAGACATGTTCCCTGAAAAGCATGGCTCTTCAAATGCCTTCATATTCTAAATATGCATGTAACATCGTAAAAATCGGGGGGCCGGCTTTTTACGCCACTTGTTCGTGTAGTCCCATATACATCTTTCTGTGCAAGTGTTTGTAACTTTACCAAGACTTGGCCAAATTTTTTATCATTTTGATGATTCCAGAACCTTGCAATACACACAAATTCTTATATGCTAGATGATCAACCTTTTCTGGTCGGTTCCACACCGTTTCTTTCACAATGCAATCGCATGACCAGAACTCAACTTCATCTTTAAATCTAGATTGAATTCTCACTTTTTACACATGAAGGCATAATGTAGAAGATTTACAAAGTGCTCCAGAGACTCAGAGAGCGAGGTCAATTTTCAACACCTGTATGAATCATATCTATTACTTTATCAACAACAAAACAACAGAAATTCATGACAGAGTTGCAGTGTAACAACAGAAATTCACCACAGAGTTTCTGTGACTGATTACAACTTTAAAAATGTGTCACTTTCTTTTATTATCAGATTTCGCTCAAACTTTCACTCATCAGTTTTCCTCATTTTCAAGCTTTTACCTAAAAACCCACTACCAGTACTACATGTATTGTAGGTACATAAATAATGGGGTGGACTTTCTGGGGTTTATATATTAAACTGGAGCTCAGTCTATACAGTTTTATGTACAGACTTGGCTTTACATGTCTGCTGCACTGTATGTCATCCTACCAGCAGGAGGGCTAAACAACATGGCCGCACCCCGTTGAGATTATAATGAGTTCACAGAAGAAGGGAGTCAAGTTTTAATTTTACCCATCCCCTTCCCCTTCAAATGAAAACTTGATGATTCATATCTCATATCTAGAAAGTAGAATAAATATAACATTAAAATGTAGGCCTACATGCACAGATACCATGTATTCAAATGCATCTCCCCTCTCCCTTTCATCTCTCCTTCCCTCCCTTCATCACCTCTACATCTTTCCTTCAACTAGTTTACTCCCTTTTACTATCCTCCATCTCTCTCTCTCTCTCTCTCTCTCTCTCTGCTCTCCAATATTGTACACATGTACAATGTAATGCTACCCCTATCTCTAAAGCTTATCACTACAGGTGTCAAGAGATAAACTTTATTATGTTAGAAAACTATATTTTGGAAGAACATCAATTTCAACATTGGACACCGTATTTAATTTCCATGAGGAAATAACTCTTAAAATAATGAAGTGTCTTTTTTTCCCTCGCTGTTTTCTTTTCAAACAAGCTAAGTTTAGGGACTGCAATGTGAGGTTGACTGCGGCAGGTTTAGATCGTGTGTGAAATGCCAGAGAATCCAGGAGACCCATGGGTGTGGTTTAATAAACTTTCTTTATGGCACCATTAATCATGTCAAGTCTCACAGGTTGCACAGTTTATAATAAACACTGGCTGCTCAAGAAACTCTGATAAACATGGGAGAATCAATGGATGAAAGAAAGGAAGGGAGAGAGAGAGAGAGAGAGAGAGAGGGGGGGGGGATGAGGGGGGGGTGAGAAAAAGAGAGCCAGACAGAGAGAGAGAGAGAGAGAGAGAGAGAGAGAGAGAGAGAGAGTGAGATGAGGGAGGGGAAGAGCAAGAGCAAGAGATGACAAAGTTTCCCCACTCTAGAAAGACAGAAAGTCTCAGATGAGTGATTATGTTTTATGCTGTGATGAGCTGTTGTTCAATTTGACTTTTTGTAAAGAATTACTGAGTTGTTCTGTTTTCATTTGTTTTTAGGAAGGGACAAATTGCACTCACTTCCCATCCCGAACCCCTTCTACATTTTCTCTCCTAACATGTGTCTGAATTCAGAGACTAGTATATGATGAGTGATTATGTTGTGCTGTGATGGTCTGAGCCTGGTTCATTGCCTTCTCCTGGCTCATGCTGACTGGCCTGGTTGAGATGTGGGGCTCCAAATGAGGGAGAAAATAGTATCTGAATCCTCACTGCAATGATGCAATCCTCACCTAGATATTAAACCAAATTCCCATCTCCAGCCATTAACCAATCACTATTACCTAAGCTTAAAGCCCCTCTCAACACTTTAGAGGGACTTTAAATCAACTTCGGTAACCTCTCAGAAGGTTTTAATCAGATTCCTGTGATTTCAGATTGCACATACTGTACATGTAAAGAGGAAGATACTGGCAATGTAAATGCTGTTCCTCCTCCAATGAAATATTAAACAAATGAGTTTCAATTACATATCGAGCACGCGATCTTGATTTACTGGGTATAACCTAAAAATGTGTTTAAAATAATTGAAATTTTTCCCAGGAAGCATTATATTTATTTTAAAAATGAGAGGTAGTAAAATAGTCTACACATGTATATTCCATCCTGGAAAGTAAATTCTATAAACAGCAATGTAAAATGTATTGACACTGTGTGTTTACACTAGATGTAGTCTACATGTACATGTACATTATATACATGTATGCACATTCGGGGAGTTAAATGTTATGTACAGTGAGTGGAATTCATGACAAAGTAAGTTTTCAGATTAAATTCATACTTCATGTCACATTTTCAAATGTATTTTTATGGCCAAGTACAGATGTCGTAACATATCAAAATTTATTGACTTACACACTGTATTAATCTTTAGTAGATCTACATGTAGATGTGCTTTTATTTTCTATCGCACCAATACCGGTATACACCATAAAATTGTGCTGATATAAATGACAAGAGTTTATTACAGGAATTATAAATCGAAGTCCGGCCCGCCCTGTCTGCATGCGTCATTACTGTAAATGACTGTTTTAGGAGTAGATTGTCTGAACGTTTGCATCAATGCGTTCGTCTTGTGATCACTTCATTAGTGCCAACGTTTGCAGCTTATTGCTGGGAAACAGTGGCACTTTACCAACCGCTAAACTCTACATACGGAACTTCCACTTTTGACTTTCAACGTCAGGACTCTTGAAATTCAAGTACATGTAAAGAAATATGTGTGATAATGTCACAAACTTTTATGTATGGAAATACTTGATTTAGTAAACTAAATTTGGCCATTGTTTCTGACCTTTTAGCTTTCACGGAAATCACATCTGGACTGTTAAAGAAAAAGTTTGAGAACCCTTGTTATAAATACTGATATTGATGTAAATGTAAAAATGAGTTTCACTTACAATACAAATAATTATGCTAGGTTTAAAAAAGGAATTAGACAGTAGATTGCACATGTAGTAATGTACTAATATTATCTTCAAGTGAACAATATACACTGTACATAAGTTTAAGTACTGAGTACTCTTAACTATAATCTGTACATGTACATGTGAATTATGAAAGCTAAGCTTGATTCGACCCATCGCATATGTAGTCGTCACACGACACATTAAGAAAAAGCTAAAATCATTTCCTCCATAATTCCAGACCTGACAAGTGCTAGAGTTTCTCTAAACAATTTCCCCATAGAACATAATAGTAAAAGGATATAAATTTTTGTCACAAACCTTTCTGTCACTTCACAAATGTTCAAATGTTCACCGCTCAATTTTCTACCTGCTCTGTAGGACGATTTTGGAACTCTGTACATGTACATACATGTACACATGTTGAAATACTTTTACTACATCACATCAAATCTATGTGTACTGTACATGTAACCTTGACAAAAACTATTTCTCATCCTGTTCTAAATCAAACAAGCAATACACGTATTATTGACAAGGAAATAACCTCTGTGGAAGTGAAACCCACACTTAAGCTGACAGTAATGACAATGAGATTTTAATCTATGGTTTCAATAAGGTTCAGATGATTCACCTCAAATAGGCTTACTGTACATAAAGGCAGAAAGACCAGAAAACAAGTAATTGATCAAAATATTCTAAAATATACAAAGTGGCAGAGCTGCCAACCTTGTGCGACCAAAAAAAAAAAGGAACCATGATGGCAAAAAAAAAGGAACCATGATGGCAAAAAAAAATGAGTTTCAAGCAACAATAAAAGGAATTCATTAAAACGAAACTTACAACCACGCGCGAAACACTTCCAATGCAGAAATGTCCATTCCTCATGCTGTTTTTTTTCATACAAGCAGGTATTTTTTTTAATTTTTTTTTTCGGGGGGGGGGGGGGGGGGGGGGGGGGGTTATTTTGGTACTACATGTATCAGCATTTCATTCTTTTTTGAGAATATTTTTCTCTTCAAGTATGTTTTAAACTAAGTTTTCTATTGAATTTGTGATCAAATCAACATTTTAGGGCAGTTGTTTAACGTGCGGTTTGTATTTTTAAAAAATTAAATAATTTTGTTTTTCTTAAACAACAAAAAAAAATTATGAAGAAAAACAAACTACCGTAATTTGGAGAAAAAAACAGTAATTCCGCCAAAAACAGAATGGGTGGCACTTGGCAGCTCTGAAGTGGGGGTTTAAAGGATCTGTGAATATTTGGAGGTCAAATGTTCAGGTGCTATCTCTGATATGGCTTATTCCCCTTTTCAACTTTGAATCCAAATTGGTCAAATTACAAGCTTGCTTGTTTGTATTTTATTATTTTATTGAGACTAAATTCCAACTTGTATGAACAATGGGCGCAAAACATAATCTCTGGGAATTTCCCCATTGACAATTGGACAAAAGACACAAGGAAATTAATGGTTTTATAACGGATGTACAGGATCAAAGTATACATGTACAGTATATCCTGTTAATGTCTGTTAATCAAAAAGTTCTTTTTTGACACATCTGTTATCTGATTGAAAGTTCAGCTG